GTCGTGAGTGCTCGGCGGCTGGCTGTCGAATTTATTTCAGATTGGTGATTGAAAATCCAGTCGCTTGATATTTAAAAAAAAAAAAAGCAAGAAGACGAAACAGGCTAGTAATTGGCCCTGTGATTGTAATGAAGTCTGAGAGTTTGAATACCTTGCAAAGAATTAGAATTCATAGGATAATCATAGAGCTATTCAATTACGACGGCATCAAACCTTTTCTCTGACAGGTTTCCTGTCTTTTCGAAATCTCGACAGGCAGACGGAAAGACAACCGGACAAATATGAAGAAAGTGAGATAAATCTGTGTACAAGAACAAATTGAGATCAGTACCAATAATCCGTTGGGAACTAGCGACATTTGTGACATAGAAAATATTTAAAAGAAGTGGGTTAAATTCAAAATATTTTATTAAAATATATAATACATAGATTAATTGCTTAAACTAAAATGACAAAAATAATAATTAAATTGTAAAAAATCTAACAAAAATAAAAGCATTTACTAGTTTTTGTTTATTAGATATTTAAATTATATCACGTAACATCCTCCATAATTTACCTTGACTTACATTTAACTTGAATTATGTTAATGAGAGTTCTTCAATTAAAACATTTCAATCCTGTGCATAAATACTTGTTGCAAAAATATTTGTTTAAGATTTGCCTTGATAAAGTCAATCAGAGGATGAAACACGTAGGCTATGTTACGTTTCCCTTTTGTCTTTATTCATAGATAGATAGATAGATAGATAGATAGATAGATAGATAGAAACCCAATGAGATAGATAGATAGATAGATAGATAGATAGATAGATAGATAGATAGATCATACATACATACATACATACATAGATATGAATAGGCAGATAGATATAAACCGACTTAGATAGATAGATAGATAGATAGATAGATAGATAGATAGATAGATAGATAGATAGATCAAGAGATGTATAGGAATAGACAGATATTTATAATAATATAATAATAATAAAATAATAATTTATATATATATATATATATATATATATATATATATGTATGTGTGTGTGAAGAAATATAGTTTTAAGGTGTTCTATATTTATGGGATAAAGTGCTCAATATCAGAGATAGAGCGTATGTAAATATAAATATAAAAAGTGAACACTGAAGTCAACACTCAGAGGCCACAGGCTGTTTCATGCTAGATGCGTTTTGGACAGATATCTGGATACGATACACTTTACTCAGGTGTTTTCTATTTTGCTATGAGGATATACACTTAGATAGATAGATAGATAGATAGATAGATAGATAGATAGATAGATAGATAGATAGACCATTAAAATTGATAGATACACACAGACGTAAGTATAGAGAACAATATATAAGATAGCACAAGCATATATATATATATATATATATATATATATATATATATATATATATATATATATATATATATATATATATATATATAAGAACTGGCTAATAAAGACTAAAAGGTAACGGAGCTTCTTTTGTGTCTTAAGAGATAATGAAAAAAATACCTGTTTATTTCCTCGCATTTAATTTTATTCTCTACATTTTTCTACGCCTCCTTTTATGGCCATCTCATTGGGTATTCCTTTCAACACTGTCATTTGCGATTGATGAAATTAAAGCAGCTAGCCACAAAACCATCTCATCAAATGATAAAAGTCCATTCAAACAGTTACCCTCTCATTGCTGAGAGAACACAACGACAGTCTTAAATTACAGTAACTTTCATTCGCCCTGAATCAGTAAATTATCTCAAAAATCAATTCTGAAACAATAAAAAATACCTCTTTATTTCTTTTCTTTCCTTCTTCCAGCAAAAAGCAGCTCTTAAAGGGAATAACCTACGTCGTAAAAATTAGCCAATCAAATTATCTCCCGATAAAATCCCATGAACCATCAGCAAAATTAATACGTCCCAATAATAAAAATTGGAGGGAAAAGTTAGCGTTTTGTTCTTAGTGTTATAAATGGTTGCTTGATGAATTACTGTTGGGCCTCAACACGATAGCTGGTCTTTCTCGGCTGGGAAATCAAGTCACCACCTTAATCTACGACATTTGAAAGAATGAGTTTTTAATAGACATCCCATGCACAGAAACCTTGACAAAGAAAATCTTTTAAAAAAATCTCAAAAAAGCCCAAAACGCAGTCAGATTAAACAGAAAATTAAACATTGTTGTGATATATGAAGTGGCTTAATCCTCACTCGACTGCCTTGTATGATTTCCAATTCATTTACACGGGCTTGACAGAGATGAGATCCACTTTACATACACTATTTTCTTTTTTTTAATCGATTTCACTCCATGTAAGGCAATAAAGCCACCGAGGTACAAGGGGTTCCTGGCTGTAGAAAAGTTAGAAACATTGCTAATGAGCAAGAAGAAAAGTAATCAGGATGACAGTAGAGAGCGATTGATATTGCATATTAATTTTTGAAGATTAAAGTTGGCTGGAAAGCATGAAGCCGGAAGAGAAGTGCAAAAAAAGAGACTGCTAGCTTAGAATTTACGGTTTCCATCTAGCAAACACGACTGATTTTGTTATTTGGTAAAATTCTTTATTTGTGATTCTGTAGCGAAAGTCTGTTAGATCTCATGAAGGATTGTCTTCTTTATCACCCAAAACCTGCATTCGTTTGAAGACATTTTTAATCATTAATCTGAAGAAACGGTTATATATAGCTGATAATTTATAAGTTTCTGAACGAAGTGAACACCATACATGATATATATATATATATGAGAATTTCTTATGAGACTATTTAAGGACACAAATCAAGTTCTTCGGTTAATATTTTGGTTTTGTATCATCTTGTAGTCTTTGAGAACGCTACAACTCTGGCACTCTATCATGTGTTCAATTTCCTTCTTTTCTTTACCCTAGAACACTAACCATCAATTAAAGTTACACCATTACTAGCCATTGGTATATCATACCCGATTTTGAAAATATCAAAAAAAAATATTAAATATAAATCTTTATTTGAAATATTTTACATGCACGCACTTCAAACTTTGTACTTTGACTTAACATTAATAGAAACTGAAAAACATTATTTAGGTAAGTAAATCAGGTACTGAAAATTGTAATTAAAAATAGGAAAATTCGCGCTGGGTACTATATACCCATGGTTAGTGTTCTAGGTTTAACTAAAATTTCTAGCGTCCTGAGTAAGAAGATAAACTATATACGGCAGCAAGGCCTCTTATCAGGAGTTTTTGAGGAGCGGGAAACCATTTCTTAATTGCTGGTGTTTCCAGATCCAACATGACCCACAGTGGCAGCATCTGTTAGGGTCCAAGATGTGGGCAAATATTTAGCCCCCAAAGTGCAGTCAAAATGTATAAAAATAGGTTTTAATACCAGCAATACATTTTTGTACAAAATATTACCAGCAATAAACTTTTGAAGAAAAAATTATTACCAGGAATACATTAACAGCAATACTTATTCGGAAAAAATATTAACAGAAATAATTTTGAAAAAATATTACTTGCAATAAAAATTTTGTCGGCATTAAATATCACATTGAGGTTGACATGCCATAAAACAAATCAAACCAAACTAAACTAAAATTTCTATAAATAATTAAACCGAAGAATTTGAAGTGTATAAAATTTATTAATCATTCATCCTGAATTTTTATGGTGAATTCGAAAAAATCCAAAGAAGAATCTGCAATTTAAGCAGTCCTGACCTGGCATCTCAGCTTCAGTCACTTTCCCACCGCCTTGACGTAGCTTCTCTCTGTCTTTTATATAAATAATTTCCATGGCAATTGTTCTATTGAGCTGTCCTTCTTCGTACCTCGACGGTATGAAGTTAAGCGTACTACTAGATTGGCAACTAGGTCTCATTGGTTTTCTGTTGAACAAGTTAATTGCAACCGTAAGTTCTACTCTAATAGTTTCTTTTCTTGCATTTCTCACCTGTGAAACTCTTTTCCGATTTCTTGCATTCCTGGCACCAAATTTTAATGCAACATCAATCGCTTTCTTTTGTCTTCCTGAATGTTGCTTTTTATTGTCCTTTCATGTCACTAAAATTTTCTCATTCCCGTCTACTCTTAATCACCGCTTGCATCTTAGTGTCATTATCTCCTTACTTGGGGATGAAAGGATTTAAAAAAATGATTATGTGCTGTCACTACTCACATTAAAATTCCAGTTTATAGTTTCTTTTTTGGAAAGATTTATCTGAAGTCCTACTTCTTGGAACACTTGTAAAAAATTCTTTATGATTATTCATATACCGCTATGAACACCTATGTTATCAGCATCATTATTGTCCAAACGAGTCTTAGAATGATACTATATCATCTGAAAAGGAGAAATCATAGAAATAATAACTAAAATTTAGTACTACTGCCATATCTGGGCTGTAGCTGTCTAATCTTCACATTCCAGTCTTGATAGGGTTCAAAAGCGTCTATGTCGTCTTGTGGGTGACAAATTATTTTCCACCCTACAACTCCTTTCCCACAGACGAAAAGTTGTAAGCCTCTCACTATCGCTATTTCCACGGAAAATATTCAGACGAGCTACATTCCATATTTCCATGGATTCTAACCTTAACAGCTAAGACCCGTAGACTGAGGCGCATTGCTCTGATTCCATTTGTATTCCATTAGTAAGGAGTAAGTTACATTCGAACAGCTTCTTCTCACGAAATGCTACTTTTTGCCGCCACTACAGACTTACTCTGTTTAAGTCTCGAGTTGGCCATAATCTTTCCTATATATCCTTCTAAACTGTATCTATTACTCCTATCACTCAGACAACAAAGTAACACTCAACCTCGAGTGGCTATTAAGCCTTGTATTGGGTAAACATTAGTAAAAATAATATGAAGTAGTGATTTATTTAAGCTGAAGCAATATACAGGTGATAGCAGTCAGACCTATGTTCATACTTAGGTAGGTGGCTAAGAACGGTTTCTTTGATATACATAGGTGTATATAAGTGCCTACATATGCCAGCATGTGCTTCTACGCGACATATAATCCCAGCGGAGGAGGTTTTAGCTACAAAGATGCATTACACAAACGAGAAAACAGACATGATAAATACGCTGTGTGGCTCATAAATTCTGGAACGGTGTCACCAGTGATATGTCCCTCGGCTAAAAATGTACCGGGGTTGGAGAGGTTGGAGAATGGACAAGTTCAACATCATGCAATTCTCTTTGGAATTGTTTGCATCGGTCTGGTGAGGATCGTATCGTTGTCCTAGCCATGACTACATCATCGTCACTTTTTATATCCTCAAGGGACTGGCTTTGCAGATATGGTGGTGATGGTGGTGGTGGGGATAGCATTTTTATGGTAGCATTGTCAATTCGTTAAAAATGTTTGAAGTATGTTTGGATCAGTTTACTATTTTGGGATTTTTTTCTACCTGCTCAAACTGTACACTCATTTAGAATGCGAAATTATAAGTCATATATATATATATATATGTGTGTGTGTGTGTGTGTGTGTGTGTGTTTGTGTGTGTGTTTTATTATAGACGAAAGACAAAGTACTGCGATTAAGCTTTTTATTTAACTTTTCCTGTGTTCGAACAAGTGTTTTCTTTTCTGGACACAGAGCATGTCTTTCCTAAGACGAGTTTTTTTTTCTGAATGTAGTAGTGTTACTTTTCTTGTTGGCTACCGGGTCATGTAATTTAATAATTGTGTATTAAGACAGCAACTCTTCATTTATACATGTTTCATTAAAGACAAGAGACAAGGTACTACGGTTAAGCTTTTTATTTAAATTTTCTTGTCTTCAAACAAGTGTTGTCTTTTCTGAACATAGAGTGTGTAGAAACTTTTAAAATATTCTATAATTCCGAGTGCTTTCGGCTATATATCAAAGATGTATGTGTTGTGTGTATGTACTAGAGTTATAAAGATGTTTTATTTTCAGAACACAGTCAGCACAATATGGCCGTGTTGGTAGTTAATATCACTGAGTGCTGGCTTTTACATGTTTTTATTATTATGGCTTCCAAGTGATGTGATTTCTTTTACATGATACCATTATTTGTTTGTGATTCTGTAGCGCCAGACCGCAATGTTTAAAAAATGAGGGTCTTTGTCAAGACCCTCAAACTTCACTTGACTGTTTAAACCATTGATTTTAGAAAACGATTGTATCTCAGTTTTTTACGATGAAACTGAGGAATTTTCAAGGGGAAATCTATCGTTGTGAAACTCACAAGAAGCTTATTGAATGATTAATTAAGAATTATAATTCATCAAAAAAAATTAAATAGAAAAACCGTGAAAATTTCCTAGGTACTGCTAGCGAATAGCTAGCCACTCTTATCCGAGGAAGCCGTCTCTTGCTCAAGCACATTTGTGTTATTTCAATAACTATACAGCCCAACTGTGGTTTATACCGCAACTATGATCAGCTGATCTTATCTACAGTTTCTGGGAGAGAGCATGATCAACAATCTCAACAAAGCTAGCACGCTCAAAGCCTCAATCACGATGACTTGTGGCTTCGTGCTAGTACAAACTCAAAGGGTTTCGTCTACTCAATTTCACTCACAAGGTGCCTCACACTAAGGTCGACTACTTCAGATCGATAACATGAAGAAGTCACCTGGTGAGATTCGAACCCGGGCCCCATTGTCACAAAACGAACATTCTAACCACTCGGGTTCCGTACTGCTATTAGATGGATGCATTTTCTATTAACTATTTTTATTAATCGGTTATGTTCATTGATATATATATATATATATATATATATATATATATATATATATATATATATATATATATATATATATATGCTGGAGGGAGAAGCAGGAGAGACTGGGTTCTATAGCCTTGGATGGCAAATGGTCTAGGAGAAGGACAACTCTGAATTCAAAACCTGCGGTGGGTCGTTTGAGGACCCTGTGGCACTTAGTCCACCAGGTCTCTGTATTCGACCCTCAAAAAGTGTGGATGGTCCTGCACGAAACCTTCACCACTATAATCAAATCTCATGTACTGGTGCCAGGCTGACAGTTTCCTAGGAACTGATCTGCTTAACCCTCATACTTGAAATCGAGTATATATACATACATATATATATATATATATATATATATATATATATATATATATATATATATATAATGCTTTTTTCTTTCCATCTTTATATATATATATATATATATATATATATATATATATAAAGTAAGCATTTTATGGAATGCTATGGCTATACGGATATATATATATATATATATATATATATATATATATATATATATATATATAGTTGGATAGATGTGAGTTTGTGACTCATGGCCTGACGATTGCATGTTTTATTTTATTATATATATATATATATATATATATATATATATATATATATATATATATATATATATTTGGTTGGATAGATGTGAGTTTGTGACCCTGGGTTTCACGGTCTGACGATCGCTAAAGCGTGAAACCCAGGGTCACAAACACACATCAATCCAACCAAATATGTTAGCTCTATCTCTGATATTGAGCGCTTTCTATAAGTACCGCGCATAATATATAAATAATATATATATATATATTTATTTATATTTATATACACTTTTCACATATATATATATATATATATATATATATATATATATATATGTGTGTGAAATGGTCTCTTACTCTTTATATATATATATCCCTGAAGATCCGTTTAGAGGAAACCTAAGTAGGTTTTCCTGGCTTTTTAGGATTTATTTAATTATTCCCGCTCTGCTTAGCGTATTGAGCACTCTACATTTTAGTCTTACTACACGCTTGTTTTTTTTTCTTTGGACTAATGACTTAAGGCACTGGTCGATCTATTTCGTATATTTTTAGTTCTTTCTTTTTTATTTCCATTTTTTCCTCAGTACCGATTTGTTTTGACATATCTACAAGTTGTGCTATCTGAGTTTATTTTTTTCTAAACGACTATTACTATTATATATATATATATATATATATATATATATATATATATATATATATATATATATATATATATATAAAACGAGAGTGCGTTTTATGGAATGTTATGGTTATACGCATCTATGTACATACATTAATACATGCATTCAGGATTGCATATATACAGCTTTAAATCGACAGTCCGTCGACAAGAAACCTCTGTCTATTGTTCCATCGTGTAGCGGACAAACTTGGTCCATTGTCTATTCATGTCTCCTACAGAAATCCAACAACTTGTCATTTAACTCTATAATCCGTATGCTTAATTATACTCTGTCCGTATTTACCATTCTTATCAATCTCTGCAAGTGACGGATCCTTGCCATTTGTAGAGATGACCCTGTCACCTACTTTTACATGACACTTTCATATTTGCAACGTGTTACTTTCGTAATCTCCGTTCTCTAACTGGGTTCACCATATTGTCGCTATTTCCATAGCAAAACGCTTTTACGTTTAGGACCAGAAACATATCGATGTTAGCCAATAATTTCTAAGTTCACAACGTCAACATATAACTATTTTATGATACAGTAAAAAAAAAAGTATCCCAGATTGTGTTTCGCAGACATTTTAGCAAAACGTTTAAAATATATTTCTATCTTTTTTTTCTGGTGGGGTTAAGGCAAACAATGAAATAACCAATTTCCTTAATCCATTATTAAACTATAGGGATGGAAACCGCTTAAGAAATAGTAATACTGAAGATCTCACTGAAGCGTAGAACTGACAATGACCATGCAGTATTGCTTCCTATGTCCAAATTTTCTATATATATAAACGCACTGTCTCATATATATATATATATATATATATATATATATATATATATATATATATATATATATATATACCTGCCCAGCGAAGTTGTAACTGCATAAGGAAAGTTTCAATTCCACTAATGTCGCATTGTTGCTTTACCGCAGAGTAGTCGACGGTGTAATCACAGGAGGGTCGTCTACAAGTCATCTGTGGCTAGACAACCGATTGCTTCATGCTGGTATCTTATTTAGCATCAGTCAGCTTCATGCAGGTATCTTATTTAGCATCAGTAGAGTCACCCCTAAGCTATCGGTGCACGACATAGAAAGGAAATCTAACGTATTATATACGTGATGTATATAAACGCCAAGTCAGCCGCCAGAGTGCTCAATTCTTAACTGAAGAGCGATGCGTTAAAACAGAAGCAGCCTGCTTTCATATATATATACATATATATATATATATATATATATATATATATATATATATATATATATATATATACGCAAATTTGATAGCGTGTGTGCAAAAAACAGAATTATACAGATTTTATTCGAAAAGATAAACGCAAAAGTAACGTGATTAAATTCTTTATTAAGTTATTCGGTTCCTTTGTCATTAATATAGGGTTTTTTTATGAAAAGAGGATCCTCCTTTTTTTCTACAATTTTTCTGTCTTTTACAGCACTAAGCTAGACATGTCTTTCTGCTATCTTTCCTAATCCAAGTTCTGTCCAACCATTTCCGATTCGAAATGGAATTGCCATTTTTTTCCTTAAAACCTTCGTCGTTGGACACATGTAGCATCCGATATGTGTGTGCATGTCAGTGAAAACAAATCTAGGCACCCCAATGTGACCCACAATATCAGAAAAGAAACGCACTCCAAAACAAAACATATATATATATATATATATATATAAAATGTCTCATATATATATATATATTATATGGTTGTGTGTGTAATGTACGTGTGTGCGTGGATGTATATGTGGGTGCAGATATACATATATAAGTGTATACAAGTATATCTAAATAGTGGTATATATGAATATCTGTGTACAGGTATGCACACTCTCTCACACACACACATACACTTGAATACAAAGCCTCATTGTATCTTTAATATCTTCAATCGAACTTACATAAAAGAGGGATGTTGCCCAAATACACAATTACACACACACAAGCAAGAATATACATATATATACTATTTTATATATATATATATTTTAAAATAATTATAATTTTAAGCTCTACTTCTGTATCGAGCACTGTTTTTTAAAATAGAAACAAAAATAATAAATAACTTTGGATCATCAATCTAATTGTTCTTTTTCTATTACATCAATAAACCAACACACACACACACACACACACATATATATATATATATATATATATATATATATATATATATATATATATATACGTGTATATATATATATATATATATATATATACGCGAAATAATATA